ATACTGAAATAACAATATACTTTAAAACAAAGGGTCCACAGATAAAAAATGGCAACATTTTTAAAAATACTATATTTTTTCAGATTTTTTTTAAAAAATACTATAAATTTGACCAGATTTTCACAGCGCGTCACATTCTGGAAAAGACACTCGATATGTAAATTAGAGGTATACGCCGCCGAGCCACGCCGCCGCCGCAAAGCCTGTCGGCGTAAACCTCTAATGTAAATCGACACATACCTTATATTTGTTCATTTTAAAGCTGCTTGTGATAGCGCGAAGATAATGCCATGTCTAAATTTGGAATCCCCGCAAAACTTATACGGCTATGTAGAGTTACGTTGAGCACACCCGTTAGCTGTGTACAAATTGGGAACTACCTCTCCAAACGAGCACGCGATTTTTTTCAATCTGTTGCTGGAAAGCGTTGAAAGAGCTGCCAATCTGAATCGCAGCGCCACCATACACAGATGATATTCGCATTGTTGGCCTGAAACCCAGGGATGTCAGCGCAGTATTTTGCCGCTTAGAAAAAAAAGTTAACGGGGTTGGCCTGGCGGTGAATGAGGACACACCTCCTCGAAACACATAAAAAAGTCTCCGCTTATTGGGACAGACGTCACTGTTGGCAGTTATAACTTTGAAGAAGTGAAGGACTTTGTTTACTTAGGATCCAGCATAAATACCACCAATAATGTCCGTCTGTAGATAAAGCCTAGAATAAATCTTGCCAACAGCTGCCATTTTGGGCTTGGTAGGCAACTGAAAAGTAGACCCCACTCTCGGCGAACAAAAATCACGCTCCACAAATCTCTCATCATGCCCGTCTTTTTATATGGCGTAGAAACATGAACGATGTGTAGCAAAGAGGAAAGGGCTTCCGAGAGAACTATTCTTTGAGAGATCTATGACCCTGTTCACGTGGACGACGAGTACCGAACAAGATGGAATAACGAACTGGACGTGCTTTTTAACGGTATGGACATAGTTAAGCGCATAAAAATACAAAGATTGCGCTGGTTTGGACATGTTGTACGCATGGATGACGACGCTCCGGCGAAAAGGTCCTTCGACTATGCACCACGAACACAATGGAAGCACCAAGTGCAGAAGGACCTGTCTGCGCTCGCGATAACCAAGTGGCGCAAATTCGCACAGGAGAGAGCCAATGGGGGAAGTTTTTAGGTCTCGGTCCAAACCGACGAACGGTTGTAGTTCCAAATAAGAAGAAATTTGTCTCGGCCAAAACCGACAAAGCGGTTCATCGCCAAATAAGAAGAAGAAAGGAGCCATTATCCCTGCGATCTCCAGTCCTGATCGACCAGCCAGATCCTAAAAAAGCGCTGGTTGTAATTTTAGGGAACCACTTGATTTACTAAACTTCAATTTTTGTAGTTCTTGCTCTACGTATTATCTACACATGTATGTATGTATATACGAGTACATAGTTAGCACGGCTGTTAGCTATTTTTTAGTGGTAACATGAGAATCTGATATAAGCATTTCATAGCTACTGTAAGCTGAAAATATTAAAAAATACAAGCTTTTAATTATGTGCTCCCGGTGGTATAAAAAGTGCATAACTTATTTTTTATCACTTCCATCATATGCATACTATTATAATGTGTAGCCCTATAATTTCTTTGTTATATATTGTTCTTAAGTTTTTTGCCTTTTATTTGAATTCAATCTTCTAATTAACTAAGCATATATATATATATATATANTGTATGTATATACGAGTACATAGTTAGCACGGCTGTTAGCTATTTTTTAGCGGTAACATGAGAATCTGATATAAACATTTCATAGCTACTGTAAGCTGAAAATATTAAAAAATACAAGCTTTTAATTATGTGCTCCCGGTGGTATAAAAAGTGCACAACTTATTTTTTATCACTTTCATCATATGCATACTATTATAATGTGTAGCCCTATAATTTCTTTGTTATATATTGTTCTTAAGTTTTTTGCCCTTTATTTTAATTCAATCTTCTAATTAACTAAGCATATATATGTATATATATATATATGCCCATACATTATTACATTATTACGGCAATTTTTACGTTCAAGTGACGCTGTTTTAGTTCTCATTCATTAAAACTTACTGTTTACGTATGTATGTATGTATATACATATGTAAGTATTAGGGTGCCCCAGAATAGACCATATGAACATTGTGAGCGCAAGTTGTTTCGAAATTTCTTAATTTTTCTCTTTTGGTAAGCAGCACCTAAACTATTTACCTTTGTTTAGAAGAAATCACCTTCCTAGCAGTTTCTCAATTCGTTTGCCCCGTATTGATCCGTATTGGTTTTCGAGTGTTAAACTATGTGTCAGTCAGTGGCGGACCCACGGGGGGTGTTTTAATACATAGACGCCATATCATACATACATATGCGCCATACTAAGCACCCCCCGTGGGTCCGCCACTGACTGACACGTAGTTTAACGTCCAAACACCCAGNGGCAATTTTTACGTTCAAGTGACGCTGTTTTAGTTCTCATTCATTAAAACTTACTGTTTACGTATGTATGTATGTATATACATATGTAAGTATTAGGGTGCCCCAGAATAGACCATATGAACATTGTGAGCGCAAGTTGTTTCGAAATTTCTTAATTTTTCTCTTTTGGTAAGCAGCACCTAAACTATTTACCTTTGTTTAGAAGAAATCACCTTCCTAGCAGTTTCTCAATTCGTTTGCCCCGTATTGACCCGTATTGGTTTTCGAGTGTTAAACTATGTGTCAGTCAGTGGCTGGATCCGCCACTGTTATATGTATGTTTATGTATTGATATTCATAGCACGCCATCAAATGATAAGAGTAAGAATACTTTCGTCTTTAAGAACTATGCTCTTCGCTCTGTCTTGCTATTTCTGCCCAGGATCTCCGTTCCCAGGATCCCTGCATTTTGGCCCTTTTCGTTGCCGTTACTCAGGTCTCTGAGAATGCAAATTAGGGCACTTGGCACACAGAGCATCGACTAACCCATTGGCAATCAGATCCTTCTTCGAAATTATGAGGTGGCTATACGACAAGCGGTATGTCAGTTTTGGCGGGTCGATTTCGAGGAGTTGTGTCTGGAGAAATCCTTGTCCCTAATTAAAATCAACTACTCAAAATACGCAAATCATTGGACTTCTGCCACTTGTGTGAGAAAAATTAGCCTTTAAACTTAACGTACCAGGAAGCANTTTTGGTAAGCAGCACCTAAACTATTTACCTTTGTTTAGAAGAAATCACCGTCCTAGCAGTTTCTCAATTCGTTTGCCCCGTATTGATCCGTATTGGTTTTCGAGTGTTAAACTATGTGTCAGTCAGTGGCGGGATCCGCCACTGTTATATGTATGTTTATGTATTGATATTCATAGCACGCCATCAAATGATAAGAGTAAGAATACTTTCGTCTTTAAGAACTATGCTCTTCGCTCTGTCTTGCTATTTCTGCCCAGGATCTCCGTTCCCAGGATCCCTGCATTTTGGCCCTTTTCGTTGCCGTTACTCAGGTCTCTGAGAATGCAAATTAGGGCACTTGGCACACAGAGCATCGACTAACCCATTGGCAATCAGATCCTTCTTCGAAATTATGAGGTGGCTATACGACAAGCGGTATGTCAGTTTTGGCGGGTCGATTTCGAGGAGTTGTGTCTGGAGAAATCCTTGTCCCTAATTAAAATCAACTACTCAAAATACGCAAATCATTGGACTTCTGCCACTTGTGTGAGAAAAATTAGCCTTTAAACTTAACGTACCAGGAAGCATTCAGAAATGATCAGTTTCAAGCCCGTAACGTTTGTACACCGCCTTGGAGATTGGAACAGCTTAGGTAAGATTCCGCGCTGACGCTTTGGTTGCTGGCTTTCGTGTTGGGCAGGCTGGACGGAAGGCACGAGTTTCAAAGCCGCACTGCCTTGGCGGTTGGAACGGCCTAGGATCCCATCCGCGTATGCGCTTCGAACTGGTTTAATCATTGACGATACGCCGCTGTCTCTCCAGGTTTCAGGTCAATTGTTTCAGAATTGAATATAATGTGTCGCTGGTTGTTAGCCATTCACTGGCTACTTTCATCATATAAGCGCCTACTGACTGTGGCATAAACACCTCGCCACTGATACTAGGAGTTAACTTAGTATCTACTAATGTTGCTGGGTGCAATTGTGCCCGCTGTGAACCTGCTGGCTTCTTGCTGTTGTAGGAGACATCGATGGTGTTATAATTCTATTTCAGGCGTAGGTTGTGGCTTCTATCTGTCTTTTTTGGAGTAGCGTCGATCTTCTGAAATGTTCGGGTTGAGGTTTTTCGTGCTGTATGCTTAATGATCGCAGAAAGACGAAGTGGGAGAATCGTTTGTCCGGCAGAGCTAGCAATACAACTTCTTGAACGAAAGTTTAACTATTTGAAGAAAAAATGTGGCGCACTCTAATCTACATACATACTACGTTTGTATTATAATATGCCCTTTCAGTACCTACTTATCATCGCGAAAACTCACACACAAATAATTATATTACATATTTATAATAATGCAATTATAAGGCGATATGTGCTGAATTTCTCATATATTGTTTAAAAATAATAATAACTGCAATTGAAGAACACATTAATTGAGAGAGTCTGACGCTTTTATGATGTGCGGACACGCTGACTGATTTTTTATAAGAAAACTCATATGTTTGTGCATGTATGCACGTTATGTATATATGTGTCTATGCATAATTGTATGTATGCTGGGTATATGTATATGTACATAGAATGTAGTTGTAAGTGCTGAACCGTTTTGGCCCAATACCCACATAGGTAACTAGCTGCTTGACTGAACGTTACTTAGAACTTTAGCAGTGCTTGACTGACTTGGCTTAAACACTTTACCGTATGACTTTTGTACAGCGCGAAAGGCATGTGCGCGAGAAACGAAAAAGCGAACCAAATCAAAGCAAATTAAAAAAAAAAAACAATGTAAATTAAAAAACTAAAAAGCCACGACACGCTTGTATGCCTGAGGTGAGTTTGTGCTTAATTTGATGTTGGCACGTTAGGGCCTGATTTACAGACAGGCAAGATGAAGGTGACGCTGAATGTTTTTTGTCTGGGAGTTAGTTGCACTTTAGCGGTGCATGAGTTAAAATTTTGAAAGCAAAATAAAACATAAAAGGAGTTACATAGTATATACTTATAATTACATTACTGGTAGCACAACAACACAATTAAAAACAAAGCGTTGACATTTTTGCGCAATATTTCACACATACTTATGTATTTATTCTTTTCTACATACATAAATAATTTAATTACCACTCGCATTAAAAAAGGGCAACACTAATTTGTAGTTATATTCTTTTCTTGTGATTTTAGGGTGGCTTCCGCCTACAATTACTTGACGAACTCGACCGCCCTGTGTTGGACCTGACGCCGCATGTCAATGAGTCGGAATTCGTGCGCACTGATGTTACGTAAGTTAATTAAAGCCCTCCCACTCCATACCACATTATGTCAAATAGCCCATTTTCCAAATTTCGAAAATTCCGTAATAAACAAATTTTTGCAGTGGTCATGTCAGAAATAAGTACTCTAAAACATCCAAAATGCCCTGGCTTGAGGCAGCTCAGTCAAAGATAGATTTTCAATAAATATCAGTTTGAAGAAAAAAATAAAATGTTTAATATCTGTTTTGCTCGTGCAGTTTTAAGTGTATGTTGTGGAAATTTTTCCGATATATAGGATGGTCCAAAACAAAAATAAAATATTAGAGAAAATTTTTCTCCCCAAGGCTTATTTACTACGTTACGGCTCATTTTAGGCTAATATCTTTACATACAAACATTGAATATGATGATCTTGAGAGTGTTTTAATAATAAGAAATGATCGAGAGAACGCTTAAAAACCTAAACCGAAATGAGAACAAAACCTTCGGTAGTGAAAACAAAACTGTCGATAATGTCCTCAACGGGACTTATATAAGAACAAAGTGAACAAAATGCGAACAATACCTTCTTGAACATTTCTAAGCGAACAAAATGGGAACAAAAGTCTCTGGAATGTTCTGGCAAAGAACGAAGCGGCTATAGAAGTCTAAGAAACTTTCTCTCTAAGAAAAATTTGAAGACAAAAGTCTCATCAATTTTCTGACATATAACGAAACTGAAACAAATCTTCTCTGACCTATTGGCGAAGATTGGAAGCGAGAACAACATTTTTCTCACATAGCGTTGCATTAGTTTGACATACATATATATTGAAATTTAAAATTAATCAAAAAGGAACTGTAAAAGCATAAACAGACGGCAGCGTTGATCCGGATCAACTCGGGAATTAACTGCAGTTGATCCGGATTAAGTCCGAGTTAATCCGGATCAACGCTGCTGTCTTTTTAAGCTTTAAGATAACTATCCAAATTAAATAAGCGAAAGACTTAAGACACGAAATTTTTATTTTTTTTTTTGCACAGGAAATTAAACATTTTTCCATAAATGTACAGTTACCCTAATGATAACGATCTGGAAGTTGAAGTCATTCAGCTTTCCTATGGCTTGGAAATAGCAATCATGCTTCTCACTCAACTGATTTTTCAGCCCAACTTGCAGACGCCCCTCCCATTCTTAACGTTAAGTTTACAAAATTTTAAAAAAAGAAAAAATTAAAAAGTAAATAAAATTTTTCTATTAAAAATTGATCGACATGAACATAAAACCTTTATAAAAAGTGGTTCGGTTTCCGGTTCGGATCAATAATTTGTTAAAAATTTCGGCTGCAGTTAATTAGTAGAAACAAGCGGTTAATCGGTTTCAAAACCGGTTCACTTCCCTGGTTAAAATCATGGTTTATCTAGAATCTTTATATTTATAGTTTGTAACTTAATATAGATAAATGTTATTATTCGAAAAATTCGAAGACTACGAAAACTGCCTGCGAGGAGTGCAAGTTGCCTCTGGTATTAACTTTGTTCCCGTACAATGCTATCATCCAAGGTATTTGGGCTAAGAAAAACTAGTCAACCAGAAGCCAGTGATAATGTTTTGGGCATACCTAATATTCAAATTTCATTGCAAGATTAACATATTTGATATTTAATTGTAGCTCTCCAATTTGGAAAATGTGAGTTTATTAATAAAAAATTTTAAATTTATTATGTTTTTAACATTTAGACTTGCTTGTGCGGCCACCCAGTACGTAAATGTTACCCATATTTAGATTTTGAAACCGAAAAGGAAACAAAAAACAGCACTCAGGCTACCTACCACCAATTTTACTGCCTTATATTCCTTTTAATCTGCTTAAAAACTACACAATATACGAAAAAATCGAAGCAGGGGTGAGGGGTGGGTGTCAAAGAGTTGAGTTATTCGTCTCTGAACACATCGCTGTCGAAAGCCTCGCACGTAATGCCTGCAAAAGCGGGACGCAGACATAAAAACTGTTCCGCCGGCGTTTTATTCTCTTCAAGGAGAGGAAGAGCAATCGGGGTTGTAATGTATGCTGATCGAAGTCAGATATTTTTGGCCCGCGAAGTGTCCAGTAAACAATCCCACAAGTTATCAGCAGTCACACCTGCTTCACAAAAGCAAGTTCCTAGCCCACATGCAACCACGCGAAGCCTCTCAGTCAATGCTGAGTGATCATCCAGCTATTTCTTATGGTGGCTGCATTTCCCGAGTGTTATAACTGGTTGCGGGCACCTTTTCTGAGCCCTCTCTATCCAAATAGTCAGTTATCTCATTACCAGATGATGCCGAGTGGCCTAACACTCAGAGTAAAAAAAGTTCGTTATGTTTTTTAACACAATTTACATAGCTAAGACTTGCATTGTGGAACTGGTTTGGAAGTGGTGTAATGAAGTCATTAGAGTCTGAAACTCTGCCACCAGCACCCATTTCTTTTAAGACTACAACTGGTCGTAAGGACCTCACCAAGTTTAAAGCTGCAAAGCGATGATAAGTATGGCAGGGCATCAAGCGCAGAGACAGGCGCCGTAGAGCAGGCCCCGTACAACACACGATGACTGCTTTGTAGCATTTTTCGATTTGCTATTGGTGCAGATCTGCTATACTATACCTTNGACTACAACTGGTCGTAAGGACCTCACCAAGTTTAAAGCTGCAAAGCGATAATAAGTATGGCAGGGCATCAAGCGCAGAGACAGGCGCCGTAGAGCAGGCCCCGTACAACACACGATGACTGCTTTGTAGCATTTTTCAATTTGCTATTGGTGCAGAGTCTGCTATACTATACCTCTGATGCATAACCGATAATGAGTTTGATCATAGAGATATAGATCCATACGTATTTTGCCAGAGACCTTTTTACATTGCAAACAGCCGCTAAGGCTTTGGAGGTCTTATGTATGACACCAAGGCAAAGTGAAAAGCACATCGCCCTAAGGGCAGTGTCTAAAAAGATGACTAAAGCATATTTTTTTTCAGATCAGTCTCACTAGATTTTCCCGCCTTATAGGCATGTTGATGCAAAGCCATAGGACTTGTAACTTAACCAGTCTCTTGAGACATTTTAGAATGAAGTACATCATGCTTATGGGTTTGAAGCTAAAGTCATCCTTCTCAAACTTATAAACGAAGCTGACGGCAAGTGGCCTCTACGATTGTGGTATACAATAGCAAGCAGTCAAAGGATCCAATAGTATCTTCGTTCGCCACAGTTATTGCAGCAACAATAATACGTCTCTTGTCGAGGGCGTGGAATGTGTAACCATCACCTTATTTCCAAGCAAGTGAGGCTACACAAAAAAAGAGAGAGTCTCAATGCTTGCCTCCGTAAAAAGGTCATCAAGCCATTTGAGTGAACCCAGCTTTGCGAATTGGCTTTTATACCACTGCAGTACTCTTTACTGGTTCCCAGCCCATCTCAGTATTAGTTTTAAGGGTCCTCAACTTTTGAAGCTCCTGCGTGAGTGAGAATACTCTATAAGGCGTGTTTTCGGTCCGGATGAGTTTTCGTCATATATTTAGGATGCTGGCACCACGTAATCTTGCGATGCGTTGCTCGCTCACAGTTTCTTTGGTTGATATATTTAGAACGATTATGGACAAAAATTGTGCCTATCCATATAAAAAATATAGAAAACTCTCAAAAGTAAATCACGCGGACGTAAGAGGAGAAGTTCTCTCCCGGCCCATTAATGATTTAGTATCACAAGCATTACCTGAGTTAAAGATCTGAACTAAGTGTCTGCTTAAAAATTATACGACCACTGCGGCCGTACCCATACCTCTCAGAATATTTGTGTTTGATAACAAAAAATGATAATTTTTTAATATCCTTTTCTGTAAATTACAATCTCATTTTCATTTGGTTTTGTTCTCCAGCCTCTCGGCCTAAAGTTGCAACCACCAAAGCTGAATTTCGGTGTGTTTTACTTCTTAATTTCGCATTTATAAAAAATTAAATTTTTAACGACCTTTTGAGCTTTTTATCCATAAAATTATATTAAAATGTATCTATGTTTTAATGTACAAACTATTCTATCTACATTTATTTACTCCTCCTTCACCCAGTGCCCAGTCGTTTCAGGTTAGCATACCCAAAGATTTTGAATGCCATAACTGCACACTGCGCCTACTCCGCCAGGCTGACGAGTGGTCGGCTGGCTATCGCTTTTGGTCGTGCGCCGATGTTGACGTAAAGAATCGTAAAGACTTCCGCGAGGCCTGTTCAGGCAATGGAAAATATTTCCCATCGCGTTGCAAGTGTGAGAAGAATTACTATGGGCCGAATTGCCAGTACAGAGACGAATGTTCCACCAATCAAGACTGTGGCAGTCAAGGCAAATGTATCGACCTAGCGGGCACATCACTGCCACGTAAACAGTGTTATTGTAATTTCGGCTGGTATGGCATTGGTTGCAACAAGAAATCACCTTACCGGACCACCGAGTTGGAAATGACTGCCTATTCGATGAAACAATTATCGCCTGATTTTCGTCTCTACTGGCGTTTGCTGGAGGAGCTTAAAGAAATTGAAGTGGTGCTCAAAGTAAATGGCACATCTTGGGTAGGTTTGGGTTGGCGACCGAATTCGCTAAACGCGGAGTGTAAAAATTTCCCGCTCATACGTGATATCGGTGATTTGAAGACTACTCTAACGCAAAATGAACCAGTTGCCGTACCTGAGCCACAGCCAGAACCGGAACCAAGTGCCGAACCAGAACCAAAACCCGAGCCAGAGCCCACAGCAGAGCCTGAACCCAAATCGGAGCCAGAGCCCCAACCAGAGCCAGAGCCAAAGTCGGAACCAGAACCAAAGCCAGAGCCTGAACCCACTGCTGAACCAGAAACCATACCAGAACCTGAGCCGAGTTCTGAACCCACGCCCGAACCGCCAGCATCAACAAAGTCCAAACGCGTTGCTAAGCATGAAGATGATATATTGCAAAATATGGAGGGTGTTACCTCAGTAGCTACTAGCGTTTCATACCGCGTGAGCTCCTCAGCAGGACGTAGGAGACGTCAAGCACCAGGTAAGTGTAAAAAATGCAATAATTGTATTTAGTAACTGTCGGTAAAACTTACCTAAAGCACTTAACACAGAAATATGATTAGCTTTAGTGTTCAACTCGACATTTGTTTTTTTTTTTTTTTGCTCAAACACTCTTCACTCTTATTAATCGCACTTTAAATCCTTTCGAAATATTTTATTTCCTTTGCAAATACTAAAAACTTAACAGAAACGATCAATGATAATTATCCTGAACCAACGCCTGCACCTGAACCGCGGGCAGAACCTGAACCCGTCGCTGAACCGGAACCAAAATCAGAGCCGGAGCCAAAATCTGAACCGGAGCCGAAATCAGAGCCGGAACCAAAACCTGAACCAGAACCAAAGTCAGAGCCCGAGCCAAAATCTGTGCCAGAGCCAAAACCAGAACCCGAACCAAAATCAGAACCTGAACCAAAGTCTGAGCCGGAGCCAAAGGCTGAGCCAGAGCCAAAGCCTGAACCAGAACCATCCCCGGAACCAGAACCTTCTTCTGTGCCGGAACCGTCTTCCGAACCGGAGCCTGCACCTGAACCAACTGCGGAGCCAGAACCGAAAGCGGTGCCAGAGCCTTCGGCCGAACCACAGCCACACGCTAAAAATCAGCTTAATTCCAAGCAAGCTATTACCAAGAGTGGTAAATATAACTGCACTTCGCAAACACATAACATTTCCACGCATGCACCCAGACACCCACCCAGCACCGTATTCAGCACTTTTCACTTTGCATTACCATATTTTTTATTATTTTACTCAAATTTCTCAAAATATCTGATACTTACACCATTCATTATCTCCATTTATAGAACCGAAGTTAAGACTGAACCCCTACACGCCCAAATTCGACTTCAATCCCATGGATTGCACTGATATAGTTATAGGTTCGGCGCGTGGTATGGCCAGTCGTGTTGGCGACTATTATACGCGCGATCGTTCGACGCCACGAAGAGATGAATTTTACGGTGGTAAATCGGATCTCTCGCTCGGTACGGGCTTTGAAGAGAATGGTACTACCACTATCATATTCCGCAAGAAGCTTGTGGCTACTGAACCTACCGACCACACACTGGACGACACGTTGACGCATGTGATCTGGGCGAAGGGTCAGGAGCCCGGACAATATGTGCACATACCAGCTTCTGGAATCGAAACGGAAACGGCATCGGTGAAGGATTTCTATCAACCGGACGAGTTGAAATATCATGGACACAGAATGCAACGTGGCGTTACACAACTGAATTTCTTTGGTGAGTGAAACAACCATTTATTAAGAAATGAAAATACCCGTAAAATGTTTCGATGCCTCAACACTGTGAATGCTTAATTGCAGAGAAGGAAAAGACTGCCGCAGCAGATANGACGAGTTGAAATATCATGGACACAGAATGCAACGTGGCGTTACACAACTAAATTTCTTTGGTGAGTGAAACAACCATTTATTAAGAAATGAAAATACCCGTAAAATGTTTCGATGCCTGAACACTGTGAATGCTTAATTGCAGAGAAGGAAAAGACTGCCGCAGCAGATGGCGTAACGGACGCTTCTACAAATTTGCTAGACAACGATTGCCTGGGCCATTGGAAATTCCCCAGCGATTGTTCGCCTGAAAATCACACTTGCGAATACTACGCTCGTTGGGAGACTGTGGGTCGCGGCGATGTAATGCGTTGGTACATCGAGACGTCCAATACACAAACCTGGACTGGCATTGGTTTCAGCGGTGATGAGAAGATGTCGCAAACAGATGCCATTATCGGTTGGGTAGATCGCAATGGACGTCCTTTCCTAATGGATACATGGATTAATGGTTACGGCGCGCCGAAATTAGATGTGCGGCAGGACATAATCGGCACACCTACAGGCCGCATCGAGCATGGTGTGACGATTTTGGAATTCGATCGCAAGCGCGTTAGCAATGATGAGCAGGTGCGTTGTTGACTGTGTATTGGCCGCATTTATGGGTTCGAAAATCATTTTACTTCTAAAATTGCAGGACTTATCATTCACCGATGATCATTGTCTTTATCTGTTCTTTCCTGTATTGGGTGGCGCATTCCATGCTGTCAACAAGAAAATGGCCAAGCACGAACGCACGCCAACCATTTCTGCAACGCGCGTGTGCATTAAATCCTGCGGCAAGGGTATTTAGTCTATGAAACTACTAAGTCATGTATTTCTATTTGAGTCTATTATTTTTCTTAAAGAACTGGAAAGCGTTTTTAATACCGCAACGCCAGCGCCAAATCGACTTGTGTATGCTGTTGGTGTAAAACTCATGAATCTGGCTGAGTCGTTTGAAGCACCACAACCGGGTACCGTGGAGTTCAACAACTTGGCCGCCACCATCTCAGACTCCTTCAATGGCATTCTCAACAATATTCCTGGTTACTATAAGACGGAAATAGTGGGCTTTGAAAAGTAAGTTATCGAAATTGAGTTGTAAATTTATGTTTTTGAGTACAAAAATGTTTATTAGAAATTTCAAAATTTAGCGCTGACTTCGCTTTGTAAACCAATTCGATTATTCTTTTCATAATCTTGATACGATTTTTAAAGCGTTTGGTAGTTTAACAAGCAGTTTTTAAGCAAAAAACGATACCGAATTCAATTCGTATATAACAATTTAAGATTATTAAGCTCTGAGCATTTAAAAATTTACGGTGGACAAATGAATAGAATATTTTACCTTGAAAAGATCGCCTGCAATTTGTATTTGCTGTTCAGCTTTCTATCTCACCTTTTGACGTTTTTAGCTAAACACTGGTAAAAATTGGGCGTAAATTTTTGTCAATTCAAAAAACCGTCATAGTTTTTTGGTAATCTAAAAAACCAAACATAAATTTTTCGACATGAAAAGATTGAACATAAATTTTTAGTCATAAAAACTGGACATAAATATTTCGACATTCAAAAACTGGGTATGAAATTTTGATAACTCAAAAACTATGCAAACATTTTTGGTATCTAAAAAATTAGATATAAATTTTTCAACTTTTATCTACATTTTTGATCAATTAAAATCCGAAAAAAATATTGCGCCATAACAGCTTATGCCTTTGTAAAATGGATATAGTAAGTAATAATTTAATGCTCAGCTTTACATGATCGAACATGTATGCCAAGTTTTTAGATACCTAAAAAATAACGTCTAGTTTAAACTATCAAAAATATTGGTCCAATTTTTCTTGACCAAAAATGTGTATCCAGTTTTTATGTCGCAAAAACGTATGTTCAGTTTTCAAATTTCCAAAGTTTTTTTTTTAGTTTTTAATTAACCAAATTGTATGCCCAGTTTCTATAAGTAACAAAAAATGTACGTCCAATTTTGAAATCACGTAAAATCTTCATTTCTTAAATGTCAGTTTTTAAACTTGAACAAATTTATGTCCATCTTTTAGATACTTTCAAGCGTCCATATATGCATGATTTATTTCATAATCATAATGAGAATTATTTTCAATTCATACTCGCAAATACTTTTGTATAAATATATACATACTTACTTTCTCATTGTACTTTAACAGACAAGGCACAACAATGGTGGCTAAATTGCAAGCCATGTTCGATAAAGCCGACTATGAGAAGGGCAATGCGTTGGCAACCAATACAGTAGGTGCGGATAACAGCGAATCGGCAAAGAATGGTGATATTGTAAAGGCAGCCTTGCAAGATAAAATTGCCACAGGCAAAGTGGGCTCACTGACGGTGGATCCACAATTCTTAGACTTCGAGGCATTGGAATGTAAGTGTTGTCATGGCGTATACGTGATTTTTGTTTTTACATTGAACTTTAATAGGATCACTTGCGTTTTTTTTTTTGTTTCATTCTAATTACATTCTTGTTTCCGTACATTTCAGATAAAACAGCCAATAAGGATGATGAAACCTTACTTTCGTTCTTCGAACTCTCCGAAGTACGATTGTACATAGTGCTANTGTCATGGCGTATACGTGATTTTTGTTTTTACATTGAACTTTAATAGGATTACCTGCGTTTTTTTTTTGTTTCATTCTAATTAGTTACATTCTTGTTTCCGTACATTTCAGATAAAACAGCCAATAAGGATGACGAAACCTTACTTTCGTTCTTCGAACTCTCCGAAGTACGATTGTACATAGTGCTGGGCTTGATAGCCGCTTTGGTATTCATTGCATTGGTGCAAGCGATCTGCACCATCTGCAAGACATCACGTAAAAATAAAACACAAAAGGTAAGTTTAAGCAAACGTACATATGTATGTATCTACTTACTATTACCTATTAAGTTAGAGTGGGACGTCGTTGTTATTAATATTTATATGAAGTTTAGTATGCCTTAAAATTTGAACATAGTATGGATGTACACTAGACCGTGCGAGAAAAAAATAGTTCGCCGTACACCCTTGAGTCTACAGTGAATGCCTGTTTTGCCGAACGTGAGGCCCGTTTTTTTATATTTTTCGTCATATCATCGGCATTTACAGTCGGGCCTTGAGGAATGATAATATCGATGTTCTTGTCTCGATGAAGCATTTTTTTTGTTGTTGGAGCCAAAGTTCATTGGCCTAAATTAGTGCTTTCTAGTACGTACCCACCAGACTTCATTTCTTGTCACCCTAAAGAACCATCCTAATGTTAGTAGATAAAAGCTCGATAAAAACCATCAAACTTTTGCCAAGGAAGTATTTCGATTCGAAGGCAAATTTCATTTTTTTTTTGCCGAATGCAGGTGTCGCCTTTTTACAATGTTCGTCATATCTTAGGCATTAATAGTCGGATCTTGAAATTTCAATTTCAAAGTTCATTAACTTAAGTCACCCTAGCGTGCCACCCTAATATCAGTAAATTATAGCCACCAAAAATCATTAAACTTTGGCTATGGAAATAATTCGATTATTCCTGTAGAACTATTAAAAAAATAAAATATATACTATAATCAAGAGGAGAAAGAATTTTTTTTTTAAATTGCTTTTCAAAAAAGATTTTCGTAAGACAGATGGCAGATAGTTTTGTTATTCTAGCACAAAAGTCTTAGAAAAAAGCCCCCTCAATCACCACTCGTGTTGAAAAGCTATTTTAAGAGAAAGCACTTGTTTACTATTTAGCTCGCCTCGCTCCAACAGTCGCAATGGTGGAGTGAAAAAAGCCCAGGCGTGCCGTGGAATTCGAGTTCGGGTCGTCGGGCAGCGGAGCTTTTTTTATATAATTTTTTTTTTTCTTTTTTAATTTAATTTTCATATAATTTTTGTATTTTATTGTTTTAAAATGAATATTTCATTTAATTTTCATAAACTTATTTTTCTTCATTTAATTATTTTTTCACTTTTTAGCTTTATTATCTTCTAATTTTAAAATTGCATTGTTTAAAAATTAAAAAATTAAATTTCCTCTAATTTCAAGAATTTTCAAAATTTAATTAGTTTTTTTTGTTAATTTAATTTTCTTATAACAATTAAATATATTTATTTTATTTTATTTTATTTTTTGGGACTTAATCTACTTTTTTAAAACTTTTTTTCTTTTTTAGTTTAATTTTCTTTTCTAGATTTTGTTGCTTAAAAAAGAAAACCATTTTTTTAATTTTATCTAATTTTTAGTTTTATTTTATTTGCTTCCTCTTTTTTGTTATTCATTTTGTTTCACTTGTGGTTACTTCGTTTTCTTTTAATTTTTGTGTTTTACTGATTTAGGAAGAGAAATCTATTTGTATTATTTCGTTTAATTTTTAGTATCTCTTTTTATTTTTTAAATTTTTTTATTTTATTCATTTTTTAATTTAATTTTTAATTTTGTTTAAAAGAGATGTTGTTATTTAATCTTTAAGTACTACATACTTCCTTCTTTTTTGGCATATTTTTTTTTCTCATTTAATTTTTGGCCTTTTTTGTTTGAAAAAGAAAAATATATTTTTTTAATTTCATTTAATTTTTAAAAATATTTTTATTTTATCTATTTTAATTTGCTTGACAAGCCATTTAATGAAGTACTTGCCGAGATCCCACATTCTTAACAGGCGTCGCGAAGCAAGCCGTGCTTTGGCTAGTAATTACATCTAGCGTGCTAAGGCATTTCCTTCATTTTCAGTACTTTGCTTCAAAACTTATAATTTTGGAAAAACTAAGGCAACAAGAAAGCTTTAGGAGGTCTAAGTTTCTTGAAGATACATTTTTTGCCTATTCACGTGAAGCGAGGTGTAAATTGAGGAGCATCATCAAGTCGAAAAATATTTTTTTTAAATACTCACAAGAAAAAATGGTACTACATATATATAATTTTTTTATTGAATTTTGTGTCCTAGCAAGTATTTGCAAAATTTCGGTTTCGGTTGAATGGCTGAAAATTTAATTCCTTCTCACAACGGCCCACTCTATCTTAAGGCTGGCTTTCACTATGTCAAATTCAATTCATCAAATAAGTGAAAACACATTTTAAAATGATAACAAACAAAGGATCTATCGATTGATTGAGATCAGAATAGGTCTTCAGTCGTGTACTTGCGCTGCTAAATCGACTATCTGCCCGTCTTTGGCCTATAGTATATTCGGTGACAGTATGAATAAAGGATATAAAGTTGTGTCACAATATGAAGACAAATTTTGTCGTCAAAATATGACATAGTGAAAACCAGCTTTTACACTTTTATTTTGTTATTTATTTTTTATTTTTATTTAAAACACCATGTNTATCGATTGATTGAGATCAGAATAGGTCTTCAGTCGTGTACTTGCGCTGCTAAATCGACTATCTGCCCGTCTTTGGCCTATAGTATATTCGGTGACAGTATGAATAAAGGATATAAAGTTGTGTCACATATGTATATTAGTATGTATGTATGTATGAGTGTTAACACCGTTAATCATAGGTATCGTTTTGTAGATTTACACAAACATGCATACATTCAAATTAAACAATCACCAATACCACAAATACCAAATCCAAAACCATATACACCATAGCACATATGTATGTAAATTTGTATACAAAAAAAAAAAAATTAATAATAAAAATTGTCCCATCCCATAATTAATACCAATTTCATTGTGTGACAATATTTAAAGCTTGTTTACGTAATACCCGACGAATGGCGGATATATCAGCAACGGCTACACCAACAACGCTACTATCAACCCTCTAGTGAACTTTGAAAATTAAATAAAAAAAAAAAAAAACGGAAGGAAAACCCCAAAATTTAAACAAAACTAAAGCACAATCGTTAAACTAAATGCGTACATATACACAAACATGTGTACATACATGTACATATGTATGTCTACACATATATACTTGTGTACGTAATGTATTTGTACTTGCATAAATACATACATATATATAAACTAAACTAAATGAAATACTAGCTGCCTTTAAAATGCGTTGGCCAGTTACTCCAGCAAGTGCATTGAAGACTTTCATCCCATTCCTAGTGCAATTGCATCTTACGAAAATATCCCTACCGTTTTGTATCTACTCACAATTTGCATTGGTAATTAAATTAAATAAAAACTAAAATAAAAATCTTTCATCACTTTGACTGCACGCATTCCTTCTGCAACTGACTACTTTTTCTTGATTCAAAATTTACCCACTAAATGTTTCTAAATTATTTTTTTTTTTTATTAACTGTTTACATGTCTTCAACTAAACATTTATACTTTCATATCGTCCTTTTCCCCCTATTCTTCCTCTGTCTTAAACTAACTTTTTCGTGAGCTTTACACGTCCTAAACCATTTCCATTACTCATCCATTTTATCTCTTGTGCATCTGTATGTATATCTACATATGCATTTGTATGTATGTATGTACTTAAGCATAGTATCAATAAGCCAGTCAGCATTTGTTTTTGCTATTTTGTTTATGGATTTGTAAATAGTTTGTATTTGGTTTATAAAATTGTATGATTTATGTGTACGTCAGTTAATGCATTATAAGTATGTAGTAGATATCGTTACCTTAATATAGAGGGGTCCTAACTCATTTACTTTTCATATCCAGCACTGTTGAAAGGTCTGCCAATTATTCACTAAAACCTATTGGATTTTAAAAATAACTAATACAGCATAAAATTAGTTAGATCCTTCAACAAGAACAGCCTTGATTTTCAACAGAGTTTTTCATCACCCCATAAAGAAACCAAAATGTTAGATAGGGCCTTTCTATATTAAGGTAACGATATGTGTAAGAGTATTTATTGCTTGCTGTATAGTTTGTGGTACTTTTGTAGATAGTGCATACCAGTTATGGGCGTACTGAAGTACTTTTGTATTTAAATTATCAGTTTGGATACTAAATACTCTAGTAAATACTTAGTATGTAGAGATAGACATCTCATCAATAGTCAAGTAAGAAAAACCTAAGGAGTTTTCTAAATAATCAAGTGAAAAAGTCAGTTATTTAGGAGTTGGTATATACTCAAGTAAAAAACAATTAGATACTAATGTAAAAAAAAACTTGGGTATCTAGGAGCTGCTAGATCCTGAAGTAGAAAAAAATTAAATATTTAGCAGGCGATAAGTACTCAGGGGCTTTAGAGATGCAACACTGAAGTAGTAAGGTTATTAGTAGATAACTAAATATTTACAAATAAATACTTTATGGTTTAAGAAAATTTTAAAAGGAACCTTACGCCCACCACACCTGATCCTAGCACTCACAAATGCATCAAACTTTAACTCACCACAACTAAACTCACCACATCTCAACTTGGGAACTATTTCGGGATTTTATAGATTCCCGGGACTAAATTAGGATTTTCAAGACTATTTCTCGGGATTCTCGCGACTATTTCGGCATTTTCGAGACCACTTCGGGATTCCCGTTGCATTTATTGATCTTGATGTCGATAGATGTATCGATATTGCAATTGATTTATTTATCCATATTGCTATCGATTTTGTGATTGATATTGTCATCGATATAATAATCGGTATTGTTATTGATTTATTTATCGATATTGTTATTGATATATTTATCGATATTGTTATTTTTATATTTTTATATATGTATACGTAATTATAGTTCCTAACATTGCAGAAATCCCGAGGTAGTCCCGAAAACTTCGGTGTAGCCTCGAAAATGGCGAAACAGTCCCGATAATCTAGAAATAGTGCGTCAATCCCGTAAATCCTAAAAATCTCGAAGTAGTCTCGAAAATCCCGAAATAGTCCCTAAATTACCGAAAATCTTGAAATAGGCCCAAAAATGCCGAAGTAGCCTCGAAAATACCGAAAAAGTCTCAACAATCTCGATATTGTTCCGAAAATCCTAGACATATCCCGAAGAAGTCTAGAAAATCCTGAAATAGTCTCGAATATTCAGAAATTTTTATTTTTACACTGTCTAAAGAACAAGTACTTACTTTTTAGAAAAGACGAAGTTTCTAAATACTTTGGTTCGTGGTAGTTAAAGAAGCTAAAATCTCCAAATACTTTTGTACTCGGTGTTGCGTTAGATGAAACCAACTAAATACTTTTAGACTAAGTATTTAGCGCAGTGCAAATAAGTTAATACTAGCATACTCGGTATATAGTAGACAATATCCAAAATATTTAAGTAAATAGTACCTTGGTGTTTACTGCAATATAAATACACTACTAAATACTTATGTTCTTAGTACTTAATAGTTATTAAATACAATTTTGGCCATCACTGGCCCTGCCCTGTGTTGCACGGTATAACGTTATGCTATCAAATGATACAGCTGAACCGTATTACCGCATTATACCGCATTACTGTATATCTTATAGTATCGATATATAGATACCTATAGAGAAAGAGGCTTACTGGAGCGCACTGAGGCTGCCGAACCTAAGTAGCTTGAAAAGTAGGGACTTAAGGGGTCATTTGGTTGTCCTTAAATCATCATTTCCCTTGTAAAACTCACAGACTCAATGCTACCGAATCTGACCTTTACAAAGCGCAAAAGGTAATAACACCAGAAAGGGATACCTGTAAAACGATAACCGCCACGTTCAGCGAGGTAACTCAAGTCTGGTACACTGATGGTTCGAAACTTGAGGATGGCAACACTGAGGCTAGTGTATATCGATCTAGATTTCGAAAAAGCATCCCGATGAGCATATACCCAATCCTATTCCAGCGTTGAAGTCTGCGCCCACGAATGTCTTCGCAGAAGGATAAATGGGACAACAATAAATATCATGTCTGATGGCCAGGCAGCGTTAAGAGCACTTGACTCTTGTAACACGGTGAAAAAGCTAGTAGACCGTTGCAATAAGATACTGGTAAAAGTAGGAGCCAGTAACCGAATAACCCTGTGATGGGTTCCGGGTCATAAGGGTTTCCATGGCAACAAGAGGGCTGACACTCTAGCGAAATACGGTACCAAACGGAGCCTGGTCGGCCCTCAGCCTTTCTTTGGTCCATCCAAAGGATAAACAGCAGGGCTCCTAAGGTGATGGGAGGACTTGCAAATTACAACCCAATGGCGCACGACAAAGGGCAAACGGCAGTTCAAAATATTCACAACTCCCTCTCGAGGAATCTCTGAGCGGCTGCTAAATCTTAGCGGGTGTAAGAACTCTCACCGGATAAATGGACACTGCAGGCTGGGTTATCATATTTATAAAATGGCACTCTCTGAGGAGGCGAACTGCAGGTTTTGTGGGCCAGAGGATGAAACCTTGGAGAGCGACTATCATCTCCATCCAAAATCTGGAACATGACTCCAAAGTGCTTAATTTCGTTAATAACGTAAGGTTGGAGTGACTTGATAAGAGTTAGCACAATAGCTCTAGCTAGGTCGCAGCGCTATATAAATATAACCTAATAATAATGATATCACTTATAGCCTATTTCCACCAAATGCTTAAATGCAGTTAAGAGCTCATATAATTTCCAAAAATTTTAGCATGGCAAGGTTTATTTCTTAATTTTTAATTTTTCCTTTCGTTTGCTTGTACTTAATATGAAGGGTACAATGTAGATAATTTTTTATTTGAAATATTTCGAAATTATATTTTAATTTATTCATTTTGGAATTGACTTCTTATACTTTAGTACAATTAAAATAGCAAAATTAGTTAATTGTAAAAAAGCATGCATTCATGGAAATATAACAAAGAGGGTTGCCACCATACATTTCTTGTTTATTAATTAAATTCGCAACTACTTCATGTAGGTACCTAAAGCATTACAATATCACCGCTAAATGAAGTGGTTAAGAATTCTTTTACTCATAAATTAAGCTAAATGGAGTCTCCAACTTGAATATAAATTCTTATTTATTAAATATACATACATATTTAGTACTTATTTAACTTTACGACACTCGCATATTGACAATATTTGCCTATTTATTTTATAATTTTTGTATTTTTAATTATTATTATTTTTAATATAGTTTATTCTTTAACAAAAACCGTATAATTCCAAGTTTCGATCTGTGTGCAATATTAAAAAAAAAATCCCCAGTATTTACCCAGTTAAAAATTTATCTGCAGTTGTCATGTAAAATAAATGTGTAAAACATACTTGTATATCTATTCATATAGGGTCATCAAAAGAATAGTATTTGGAAGAAGCGCATCACTAAAAAAAAAAACTTTTTAATGCCGAAGTGTGGTAACCACTCTTCTTATAGGCTAGCGCCTGTATATAGTAAGTAGTTATGTATGTATATTAGGGTGGTCCAAAAATACCTAGGAAAGTCAACTTTTTTAATTTTTCCTGTTGCCACCCCCGGAACTGAAGAATATCAAAAATAAGGAGACACGTTTTTTTTGTTTCATTGATTAAAACTTACCCCTGCCGCCGGGGCTTGGAAGTTTCCAATATATTTTACATGGAAAAAAATTAATTTTTTAGTAGTAGTTTGCTATAAAATCGTTAAAAAGAGATATTTTTTGATTGATTAAGACCATTTTCCTTCAGAAGTCTATAAAAAATAACGCTATGATGCTTATTTAACTTAAAAATTTTACCAAGTGTGTTTTAATAACCAATAATCCTATCTGTTATATACAAAAAATTTGTATTTTGTGTTTTCGCAACCACATCATGCACAGCTCAATGGATGGGTTTATTTGTTTTTTTTTTTCATTCTGCTCAATGCTTTCTATGGGTTTGTGGTAAAAATTTTGAAAAATAGGGTTACCAGATATTTGAAAACTTAAAATTATTAGAAGGGCAATAAAATATTTAAGTTTCTTCATCAAAACTAAAAGCGTTTGAAGAGATTTCAAAAATATTTTAAACGGGTTTGCCATCTTTCTAAAAAAAACATCATTTTATTTATTAATTAAGATTATCGGTTACTAAAATACACTCCGTAAAATTTTTAAGTTAAAAGCTTCTAGTTTTTTTTTTTTGAAAACTTCAGAAGGGAAATAGTCTAATTCGATCAAGAAATATTTATAATATTATTATATATAAAATAAAATTATTATATATAAAAATATATTATAAAATATTTAAGTTTCTTCATCAAAACTAAAAGCGTTTGAAGAGATTTCAAAAATATTTTAAGCGGGTTTGCCATCTTTCTAAAAAAAAATCATTTTATTTCTTAATTAAGATTATCGGTTACTAAAATACACTCCGTAAAATTTTTAAGTTAAAAGCTTCTAGTTTTTTTTTTTTGAAAACTTCAGAAGGGAAATAGTCTAATTCGATCAAAAAATATTTATTGCTAACGATTTTATAGCTATTTTACGAAAAAATGTATTTTCCCCATATAAAATACATGGGAAACTTCAAAGCCCCGGCGACACGGGAAAATATTAATCGATTTCAAAAAAAGAAAAAAAAAATCGTCTCTTTATTTTTGATATTCTCCAGATCTGGGGGTGGCTGGAGGAAAAAAAGTTTGGGCCACCCTAATGTATATCTATCAGTTTGTATTATGACTTAAACATGAATGCTAAAATAGTTGTAGATTCTGCTCAATTTGACAAAATAGCAACAATCAAAATGTATGACTGGTTATCTGAAACACAAATAGGGTGCGTTCAGAAATGCATCAAGCCAAAGCATCAGTCTCGTGTTATTTCTAAACTATAACTTATGGAAATGTCAAATATGCGCAACCACGTTTAAAAGTTGAATTTGAACTTAATTCCGTAAATAAGACATTTCCATCAATAATAGTTTAGAAATAAAAGATACTGATGCTTTGGCATGATGCATTTCTGAACGCACCCATACTATGCATGCACATTTGTATATTAAAACCATAACAAAATTTATTGCATTAGTATGCCTCTTGCATTGCAGGCAATAAATGCAAATTCACTTACAAATTGTTGCCATAAATTTGGCCGTTGCTGACGCAGCAATTGCGACTTTCGCCAATTTTCCGTTACATGTCCAGCATCCAAGAAGGAAATTATAAATTTAAAAATGTTAATATACAAAAATACCTTATGCTGACTGGTTTATTATCTATGCACACCTTAGCAAGTAACTGAAATAATAAATTTCTTTTCGACAACTTTTCAGGACAAACTCATACAAAATTCGCCTTGGAAAGAATTCGCTTCGAACACCAACTACGCATTCGACCCATATGGCGAAACTGAAGAGAAAAACATTACCGCATCCTCGAGTGTCGTCGCCACGGGCAAAGATAAATTACGTAGTCGCTCTTCAAATACGAACAGCCAACAAACCACGCTGCCCATGTCCCATTCACCCACCAGCAAATCTCAACTCTACTACGAAGGCTCTAACGGTCATAGTGGCGGCAGTGGTCATCACTCGCGCAGCCGCAATCGGTATGATAACGGTACGCATGATTATCGCAGCAATGGACGAGTGCAGCGTAGCACCGGAAACATTGCAGTTACAGCCACTGAGAATGGCGGGGGACATTATGATCGCTATGAGCGCGATCGCAGCAATGATCGCAGCGCCGGTCCCTATACGCGTAGCTCTTATGCTGAACGCGCCTACTCGTTGCCTCGTCAGCAGGCGCAACAACAACACCATTCCAATATGCAGCCCTCTGGCTATTACACGCAAGAGCGACGCGGCCATCGTTCCAGCACAGCAGCAGCAGGAGGCGCGCCTGCGCGCGAAGAACGCAATAGTCGACATTATCGCGATGGTTCGCGTTCACGAGAAGATCCACGTATGAGCGCTAGCGGTGGCGCCGATACGCCGGATTTCTATTTTATGCCGTCACAGCGCAAGTACTCGGGTGAAGTGGTGCGAGTGTACGTTGACTATAATAAGGATCCGAATCATTGAAGAGTAGCGCAATGAGGTTTGGTGGACGATGGTACTGGAAAAGAGTGGGTTGTGGAAATGTTGAGAAGAAATACGGGATGTGTCAATATTGTGTGCACATACAGAAAAATTGAAATCGCACAACGGGTGTTTGGAAAAGGCATGGAAAATATACATACATAGTAGGTATGTATGTATGTACATAGAAATTAAAATGACAAAATGCGTAGACGTTTATAAATGTGGAAAATGTCTTAAGCGAATCCAATCATCTTCTGTTGCTGCATTAATCGTTATTTGTGCGCGTGTGTACGATCTTACTTTCGTACTGCATTGAGCGTTAAGGTCGTTGCGTAAGGGGTATACTAGCAGCTCAAAAAATACCTCAGCGAGTTATTTATGAAAAATAAATATAAAAATACATAAATACATATATTAAATAGTATGCAGTAAAGTACAACACAATGAAGCAAATAGAGCTCCACACCAAACTTTTAAATCATTCAGACTGTATATGTAGAGTAGGGTGAATCACTATCCATAAAAAAAAAAAACAATAATATGGTTTTTTCACCGAAGTTATAAAATTTATAATATTTTAAGATCTCCGCCGAAATATTTCGAAAAAATATTAAGATTTGCGTGAGCTGGACTCATTTGAAAGTGCATCAAAAAATGTGTTTTTTTTAAATAAATTTAGTTCTTTAAAATAATCTTTCTATCTCAGATCATTGATGAACTTAAACCTAAAAGGTCTGCTTGTGAAAATTACGAGATTTTTGGAGGTACGTATATTCAAAAGGGTCCAGCTCAGGTAAATTTTAATATTTTGCCGAAATATTTCGGTGGAAGTTTTAAAGTAAAGTAAAATAAACTGTATGACTTCGGTGAAAAAAACGATATTTTTTTGGTTATGCACCCTAATGTACAGCTATAAGTATTACAAGCTGAATAAAACGCTGAACGTCTGCAAAGCTTGGGCGAAATTCTAATCTAACAATATTTTTTTTTCAACGCAGCTCATACAATAAGGTTATTCTTGATATGCAAAAATTCAAAACCGCATTTACAAGATAGCTACGGAAAGGGTGCTGAAGTTACATTTGTACTTTAGAGTGGAACTCCACAAAAAGGCTTTCAGCACTTTAGTTAGCTATAAGTTTTGTATTGCGGCGAACGCGCTGAAAGCCATAACGTCTGAAAGCTTGGGTGTGAAGTTTATTTGATAAAATATATCGTTTGAATGCACCTTCTTGGTAAACAAACAAAAAAATGACTAAGTTATAAGATTCACAAAAAAAGTTATTGAAACTTTCGCAAACTCAGTTTGAATACCCATACTAATATAAAAGTCGTCGTTATACAGAGAAATATTCAATAAAAAAGTGCTGAGATTTTATCCGTCAGTAGTCATATTTTCATAAAATTACTAAAAAATATATATATACAAGAGCGCCTTTGAAATGAGTTTAAATATTAAGAATAAATTTATATATTTAAAATAATAACTTATATACATTAGGGTGCATCACTTTCCATACAAAAACGGTACTCTGTCTCCAGCGGCGATATTCTATTTTAAAAGTTCCGCCAAAATATTAAGATTTACGTGAGCTGGACCCATTGGAAAATGCCTCCAAATGCCCATTTTTTTATAAATGAACATAGATTCCAAAAATATTCTTTCTCCTCAGATGGTAGAAGAGATTAAGCATAAAATTTTTTAAAAATTGTATCAATATAATTAAAAAGCTAAGGAGATTTTCGTAGATATTTTCAAATCGGTCTAGCTGACGTACCTAAATCTTAATATTTTTCCGTAATATTTTGGCGGAAGTCTTAAAATAAAATACATTTTTTAATAGCGTTGCAAAATCGGCAATTTTTTTTTTGGTGATGCACCCTAATACATGTGTATACATTTATTTAAACATGGAGTTGTATGTATATTATGCAAGTATATGCATTAAATCGCATGTATGTATGTATATTTTACTCTAGAGAATTTGTACATACTTATATAGCTTTTGTAGAAAATAGTTTTAATTGAATTAACCTTCTGATGAACCGCCTTAAAAATTCGATGGTGTCTAGCATTAGGACTGCTATGTATATGAGATGTAAAGTTTTTCTGCATAAAAAATTTTTTAAATAAGAAAATGCATACGTACATACATATATCATGTTTTTGAAAAGCAAGACAATTGAAAAATATATGTGTACGTATATGTATGTACAAGTATAATCACTTACTAAAAATTATAAATGAACTTTTTGTTTAACTAGTTTTCAGTGTTATAAAAACTATAAATTTTAAATGTGACGTACTAATACATACACAGATATATATTAGAGTGGTCCTCAAAAATATGAACATCTACATTTTTTATGGGACACACCCTTATTTTGGTCTGCATACGTAACTAAGCCATTGACAAGAATTTCAAATTTTAAACAAATTTGTAGGGGGCGGTACTGGGATTAAAAAATTTAAAATTTTTCTTAATCCCGAAAATTCGACAAAATCTTAACCGGAGATCTGATAAACTAAACATGTTATTCAAATTCATATCGATTCATAAACTACCTGAGTTATGGCTGGTCAAAGTCAACATTTTGTCGAATTTTGGGATTTAAAGAGGCCCTTTATTTGAAATTTTCGTGATTGCCTTTAATTTGTATGCAGAACCAAATAAAGAGGTGCCTCATGATGCTGGTATTTTTTAAGGACCACTCTAAGTTTTAATAAGAAATATACAAATATTTTATTTTAAATAAACTTAATGGTTTTTGTTTCGGTTTTAGTTTCTTTGTGTGTGCATTGTAACTTAAAATGATTATGAACTTTATGCAAAAGAAGAGTTTTATAAAAGAAAAATCAAATAAAATTTAAAAAATTGCACAGGTCAACAAAATTTAATTTTTTGCAGTTAATATACATTTCTGAAGGACTTTGGTGCGCTGAAAACTAATCTGGTCGTAGAACCAAACCTAAAGTGCCAATAAAGCCGTTTTTTATCATTCATTTGAGGTTATATAGCATAGCGCAAATACAATTTTCCATAGAAAACAAGTCAAAGTATCTTAAAAAGCAAATCTTCTCATTTCGAATGCCATTGAGTTTGCCCAAATATAAACTTTTCCTCCGAGATATCGCATTTTGTAATTTTAATACTTACTGTATATACGAAAAAGTTTATTTGCGTTGCTACATAACCTCAAATATTACAATGAAAAGTGTTTTGTGTACTTTTAGGTTTAGAACTTGACATAACGGCCTGATTCGTTTTGAGCGCACCAATATCCATCGAAAATGTATGTTGGTGTTTTTGCTTCTTGACACTTGTTGGCCTGTGTTATTAATTATGCTTAATAGTTTAAGATTTAGCTATAACTGACACTTGTTTGGGAGCTCATCACAAAGAGTAACACGTAGTCATTTATTTTGTATACAAAGAGCCGTATTTTTTTTGTTTAATTTTAATAACACTTACATTTATGTATATTTAAATTGTAGACAGCTTATTTGTAAAAATATACTTATGTATTTATGTATATTGCAATATTTTTATAATACAAATTTGTAAAATATTTTAAATGAGATACATATGTTAGTTAAATGTAATTAAAATAAATAAAGTGAGTAAACTCNGTTTAATTTTAATAACACTTACATTTATGTATATTTAAATTGTAAACAGCTTATTTGTAAAAATATACTTATGTATTTATGTATATTGCAATATTTTTATAATACAAATTTGTAAAATATTTTAAATGAGATACATATGTTAGTTAAATGTAATTAAAATAAATAAAGTGAGTAAACTCTAAAAATCTGCTAAATTATTTTATAAAAAATAAGGAATTTCTAAAGCCCAGGCGAAAACTGACTAAAAATGTTTGTTTGCCAGTAATGAGAAATCGTACCGATCATCATTTGTTTTTTTTATATGTGTAAACAAAAAAAAAAAAGATAGCAAACATTCCTCCGACAGCCGATTTTACGTACTTGCACGACGCAGGGGTTTTTGCCGAACAACAGTTATCTTTACCAATCATTTTTCGTTCGTGGAGCAGCAGCTTGTAGTAATATTGCTACGCTCCCTTACTAATAATAATAACACAGGGCAACACAGATTTTGTTTCCCAAAATGTAAAAGCTGTTTTTGATAGCCCTTTTTGTGCTGCTTACGAATGACTATAAGTGACCATCAAGTCAAGGTGCACGAATGGTATTTCCAGGGAAAGTTGTCGAGAGTTCTAGCTTTAATTTAAGTCCATTTGGAAGGTACTATCNAAAAGTTTGTTTGCCAGTAATGAGAGATCGTACCGATCATCATTTTTTTTTTTTTATATGTGTAAACAAAAAAAAAAGATAGCAAACATTCCTCCGACAGCCGATTTTACGTACCTGCACGACGCAGGGGTTTTTGCCGAACAACAGTTATCTTTTCGGCGATCTAACCATGTTTACATCAGGGAGCCTACCAATCATTGTTCGTTCCTGGAGCAGCAGCTTGTAGTTGTTTACTACGCTCCCTTACTAATAATAATAACACAGGGCAACACAGATTTTGTT